CTTTGTGCTCGGGAGGTACCAGGTTCAAATCTCTGTCTGGAGACCGGCTATCCTGACCGAAGCTTTAATGGCGCTCCTCAGTCATTCCAGACAAATGTCGAGATATTGCCTTAATTAGGCCATGACTGCTTCCAATTCGTTATTCACTAATCGTCACTATCATTCGACGCTATACAACCTGAGTTACTAAATGTTTTGTTTATAAACCTTTAACGGATAAAACAGATGACACTGGAAACCTACATTTCAGTTAACTTTGGCGAGATTAATTTTTGCTCATATTGGTAGAATATAACCTCTGCTTTTCAGGAAAATAAAATAAAATTTCTCCATCTACCTGAAAAATCGTTTAACCTATAAATAAATTGCAACATAAGAAATAAAGACCTCCATTAAAAATCAGAATTTTCATTTGAAACATTCTTCGATATTGTGAAGTCAAGACGGCATGCAAAACAGCAAGGAAACTTTTTGAAAATACGTTATCATTATTATTACGATGGGGTGAGACTGTGTCTGTGAGGCTTCTAAAAAGCCCATTATCCATTCCCTAGATCAGCGTGGTCCAGCTTTTTTCGTTCTTTCGATCAAGAATAGCTTTTCCTTTGGACTCAAAACACCAAGAAGCTAATAGAAAATGTTCGTTACTCCTAATAATCGGAAACGACACATTGCTACACCACATGGACAAAACATCAATTTTTTTAAAATGTGCACGAATTACTATAGATTTACATATTGTTTTAAAATTTCTCGTGCCACAGCTTGTATCTGACAAATTTTACCTGTAAAATTTGTATTTTACAGCAGCGTTTTAAAGTCAGTAGTATGAGTGTATTGTATTAGTAGTGAAGCAGCAGACGAAATAAGAATCGTGATTCCTTTTTTCATCCTTTGAGCTCATGAAGTAAAGTAGCTTCTAGTAACAATTAACAAATGATTTGATGGACCGCCAGTTGAAGCACGTTGTCCCAGGTAGTGCATTTGTAAATATACGAGGTGCGATCGGAAAGTTTCCAGACTGCGCCTATAAAAACCCGTACACTTATCTCAGGTATTAAATTCATCCATCACCCTCGAAGTAGTTCCCCTGGGAGTGAACACAACGATCCCAGCGC